AATGCATGGACATGTCTAAACTGCATTTCAATACCAAAAAATGCCAATATAACCTTTAACTGCAGATTGGCAAATCAGGAACATTTTATTTTATTTTACTTGGCTTGTTTTTGCTATGTTATGCTGTGGTGAATTATGTTTAGTTAGCATTACTGTTTTGCATTTTATTTTGGGCTTCAGGCTATTGTTAAGTACACAGATATACAGTGGTTGATGAGCTGTAAATATAGTATTGATATTTGCCAAACCATACTTACGTAAACTAATGTTTAGCTTTGCTGTATTATCAGAAGTGTATTATACACAATAAATAGATTGTGGTTTACATACTGCAAAATGCATTTGCGAGGTTTGATACTCTTTAAATTATAAGGAGTTTTACAAGAAATGAAAGATGTTGGATATGATGTGTGGCCTTTGGTGATGTCAGACAACCCTCTTGAGACCCTTTTTATGTAGCAAATTGATTACTGTGTTATACTGTCATGAAAACAAAGACATATTTAACATCAACGGCGCTAGAATTAACGTACAGTTAATAACTAAATGTATCCATGGCCTATGTATATACTTACTATTTTACAGTATCTGTTTTCTTCAAACAAGCAATTGTTAAAAATACAAATGTTAGCATCATACATATTTGTTTTTTACATTCTGACCTTTTAAAATGCTATTCAAGAAATAGTCTAAGAGTTTCCTGCTTGTTCCTAGTTTGCCATGTACTTCATATATATTGGCATCATGGTCTTATTGATGGAGCCCAGGGGGATGTCACTCACTGTGATGCTGATGACATCAGGCACTGAACCTTATCCATCACTCTCTGCTTGTAAACAGTGTTTTGCTTAAAGCCCCACTGAGCACTGCATGGGCCAGATATTCTCCCTTCATTTTTTTACAGAATCTTTCCTGTATTTCTCTAAACATCCTGGGTTTATGTCTTTGCAGCTGTGCTTGAGCTCGATAGCTCCTGACTGCTTTATGGTGGTGTAGCTTTACCCTATGTCCTTAAAAGCATAGAACTGCATCAAGGCCATGTGAAACTGAAGAAATATGACTGTTGCCCAAATAATTGTATTACTAAATGAGGCAAAGTGCTCGATAAATGTGCCAGCACTTAATAACAACTTTGTAGTGCTCAAAGTTAAAGAGCGTAGATAATACGTACATCTGACCTTTAATGTTTTGGCTTGCAGAACAGTTCCAAACCAAATATATCCGTCAAATGAAATCTTCCCATTTTACTGTAATAGGCTTAAAACACTTTGCTATTTATTTTCCTGTGATCAAGAATTGTCTCTGGAGACTTTCATCACATTAAGACTGAACTATGTTATCCCAAAAAGTACTAATGGATTCATATTTATTTGAAGTATTCACCAGTAATCCCCCAATGAATTAACATAACTAGCCTTTAAAATCCAAAACTAAAATGACACAGAAAAATTCTAAAACTTAATTCCTAACAGGTCTCTGGTCCTCTTCTAAATACTTTTAAAGACTCTGAATTTATGGTTGCCAGGTAACAGCTTGAATATTAATTAATGCATTTACTTATTACCTGAGTTTAAGCAATACAGACCTGGCAACATGTTACAGGTCTAATCATAGGAGAAAAGACATTAAAACAGTTTATGTCCTCTTTTATTCGTTTTGATTCATAAAACATTCAATCTGCATATTTCCACATATTTATTTGAATTCTGAAAATCTATTGTTCCTGTCATCAAAGGACAGTTTCCATGATATCAGAATAATATACTGACAGAATGTATTTTTCAGTCTGCTATTCTGTGGAACATTTTTTTTTATCAAAGAAGTTTTTATTGAGTTATTACAGTAGTATAACAAAACATTCACGTAAAGAATAAGGAGATAAAACAAAAGAAATAGTCGTGAACATTCAGCATAGGGAGTAGCCCAGGAATTAAGCATCAGATAAATTAAAATGAGCCCATATAAAGACTACCAGGACAACTCCTACACCACTAAAATTACAACATTAGTATAACATAACGAAAACCAAAGTAGGGATCGCATAAGACGGTATATATTTGAAACCATGTAATCTACCGATACACTTATATAATCATGTGTCAGTCTGTTCAGAGGAGAAGGAAGGGCAAAAGATACCTGAGGGTTATTGTGGAGTAGAGTCCAAGAATGTATTGAACCATATGGTCCAAGGGTACCAAAGGACATCAAAGTTACTGAGCTTATCACTATGGAAGGCCAATATTCTCTCAAAATTATAGTGTAACTGTACTAAGTAAGCAAGTTGTGTAATAGTGGGAGGGTCTGGATTTCTCCAGTTTCTAGTAGTTAGGAGGCGGGCTGCTAAGAGGATGTTAGTTGTCATGACCCTATGTGGGAGAAAAGTTGTCGATTCCCAAGAGTGCTAATGCCGGAGTAGGGGAGACGCTTATCATTTTAAATAAAGTATATCAAAACCTCTGAAGTTTGGGGCAGTTCCAGAAAGTGTGCAAGAGGTTGCCCACTGCTCCGCATTCTCTCCAGCACAAAGGAGAGTGATCAGTGGAAAATTTGGATAACCTATATGGAGTCAGGTACCATCTGAGTACAATTTTTGAGGACACTTCCCACAGGGTTACGCATTTGGTTGTTGATGACGTTGTATTAAGGGCCCTAGTCCACTGTGCTGGAGAGAAGGTAGCACCCAGGTGTTCCTCCCATCTCTGGAACGGAAGTGATTTCATAAAGGAGAGCTTCTCCTGTTGCATACTGTATAGAATGTCCATAGGTTGTTAGGAAGAATGACATCGGGTAGGTTTAATGTAGAAAGCAGGTGACGAATTTGAGAATATTGGAAAATTTAGAGTGCGGGAGGGAATACTGATTACAAAGTTGTGAGAAAGGTTTGAGTTGTTCCCGATCAAATAGTTCTGAGATGCGCGTGATGGTATTAGAGCGCCATTGTTTGAGGTTCAAGTCTGGTATAAGTAGTTCTAGAACCTCGATCGGGAGGAAGATGTGTGTAGTTGGTTCTAGGGAGAATTTGGAGGAAGTTATGTATCTCCATGCTTTGATGGAGGTTTCTATAGGTGGTGATAGAGGAACTTTGGAAGAGCCTGTACCTAAGCTAGCTAAGAGGAAGTGGAATAGGTTGTGACCCGGTACCGATGTCTGTTCGATTTGAGTGATCACAAACTGTTTGCTTCCTAGATCCTGTATCCTGACCATTGCTTCCAGTTATCGACCCGGCTCGTCTTGACCATCCTGCTGATCTTCTGTGTTCCTGACCCCGGCCTTGTTCCTGATTCTGCTCCTTATCTGCTGTTCCAGTACTATGTTGTCTGTGACTCAGTCAAATGGCTGTAGTCTGCCATAAAAGTCTTACAGCAGTCAAAAAAGTTTAAACCTAGATTGCAAAAGGTTGATAAAAATTAAAGCTAGAGTTTGGCAAGCCAATTGTTTCTGATCAGCTAACATGTTTTCCAGCATAGTTTTTTGGGGATTTCGTAAACAGTGGCTCCTCCTGTGTAGACTACAGTTAGATTGTGTCTAGGGTTTAGACTTCTTTCTCATTACAAAATCTGTTGTGGATTCTTATGTAAAGCTGTTCACAAGCAGCACCACCTACCTTAACGCAGATGGTCTGGTCCCAGTGCAGATCAATTCATTTGGCACTGAGCACCAGGTTGTCCCTGTATGAGCTGGTGCCATTAGTTTGGAGGGTCTGCACAAATTAACTGCTCCCATCAAAATGCATTTGTGGAGTCCCCTCCATCTCTTGAAACAGAATATTGATCTGGCTAAAATTATTACATTTGATGCCACCCTCTTACCCCACACAGCATTTGAAACATTTACTTGTTTTCCTAGGGAATGTTACAGAGTATTAATTAACCATCCTTCTAGTGCCAGAATGTGGAATTGCACTGTTGGTGAGCGGGGTGGAGGCAGGACCTTTTGAAGACCAGCAAGAAAAGGGGTTTCTAGATAACAGCTGTGACAACCAGGGCCAGCATGGAAGAAGACTGCAGCACCTTGGTTTAGGGTACTTAATTACCTTAGATCAAGTGTAGGCAACCTCAGCACTCCAGTTGTTGTGGAATGAGGCATGCAAGACTGACAGCCACAGGTATGACTCCCAGAGAAAGAGGCATGATAGGATTTGTAGTTTCAGCACAGCTGGAATACCAAGGTTGTCTACCCCAGCCTTGGATTATTACCTAGACAAAATGAACAGTGTATTCTTTATCTGCTGTGGAAGGTAGTACTATTAACTACAAACAGGCAAATTAGATTGTAGTAAAAATTTAACTAATGGACACCCACCAAAGTCCTATAACATTCCCAAGTATCATACTAAACCCCCCACCCCAACCCAGAGTCCCAACCTTAGCAAACTACTGCATCAGCTAGATGTGTAGAATTTTGATTTTTAACATGTATTCCTATGAATGTCATAGTTGGGGGAGGAGGGGAAGGAGGGAAACCACTTTGCTAATAGCTAATAGTGTGACACCAAGTAATAAGATATCAGTTTTGGGTAAAAGCTGGCCATACACTGTTATATTTTCATTCAAACTGTGGGATGAATGAAAAAAAAAACCCATGCAGTTTATTGCATGAAAGGAGGCCAGCAGGAGAATAGAACCTCCTGCTGGGCTATTGCATTTAGTCAGCAGTGGTGTGCCCCTGTCAGAATACCCAGTGATGGCAGCCTATTAGCTGTCATCATTGTTTCGCTGACAGTTTTCTGCCAGGCTCCTTCGATTTACTGATCGAAGGATGCCTGATGGAAGATTGCCAACAGGGCCACTCACTGCATGAAATTCACACAGTGTATGGAAAGCTATAAACTTTGAGGTCTTGAGCATCAGCATCAGTAGTCTGTTCTGTATTGTCATGATACCTAAAAGGACTTAGAAACGAAAGGTGGGCCGTTTCTTTTGAAAATAAACATTATTATCACTTACCACATGCGGTTATTAAAAGTAATGGAAATGTGATACATGTGGTGTTTATCTTACCTTGCGGGCACTTCTGCCTAATTCTTCACCATAATTTGTACCCAGGATTTCAAAGTAGATATTTGGATTATCACCAACTTCGTTAAACTCCAAAACTCCGGTCAGTCCATTTATTGCCCCCTGTCAAAAGAAAAAAGTTAGTTGTGCAAAATATCTATGCCAGGAGATTTGTACACTTTCAGTGTAAAGTCGATCAACCATATTACAATCAAATTGTACAATGTCCTTTTGCTTTCTCAACAATTATGTAGAATGAGGGTCAACCTGTATATGAACTGAAGGGGTTGTTTTGGTAGGCATTTACACTGCTTAGCTGCTGTTAAAGTGACATTAAACCCTCAGATTTTTTTACATAAAGCAATACTGTAATGTGTGCCTTACTGTAATCCATGGTAGTTTCCCTTCTCTTTGCTGCTCTTCCTTTTAAATCTGTATCTGTGCTCATGCTGGGCAGAACTTCTGTTTTGCAGCAGACTGCCTTGTCTCTGGAATGGATATATGGTGTCTGTGTGTACGTTTGCAACCTGAGCCAGCACTACAGGAAGAGGCACTCAGCTGCAAAGGGAAGTTCTCCCCAAACATGAGAAGACATGAGGATTTAAAAAGAGCAGCAAAGAGAAGGGAAACAACCATGGATTACAGTAAGGTACACATTACAGTATTGTTTTATGTTAAAAAAATCTGAGGGTTTAATGTCACTTTAAATCTCATGAGATTGTATAGCCAGATTATACTGTATGCGGTCTTCTTAAAACTGACTCTGATTTATTAACACAGATATAGAAGAAAACAGATAGTACTAATCCGAATTTTCATGTGGGTTTCATTATTTAATTTGTACAAGCGACATTAAAATAGAATTGGGCTAGTTAGTATAGATAACACTTTTTTGCTGAAGCACAAAATCAAATTACTTTTAACAGTGGTTTGCCAATGGAGTACCTACCTCTTTTAAAAAGGTATTAAATCTCTGTGTGCTTGGAGGGCTTTTCCCGTAATGTGCAAGTATGCAAGGCATACTTGCACATTGTAGCACATTTACTTTTTAAGTGTGTTCTTCTACTTCTTGTGCAATGCAGGCTTTGCTCCCCACTGTGGCAATCTCCTCTGTCAATATTTTTACTTTCCCAGCAAGTAAAGTAAATGGGTTTATCAGAAAGTGTCCAAAATCCACTCAGTGTATAGCCAGCCTTAGTCTTAAGTACATGCAAAATGTTTGGTCATTCACGATAATGGTCAAATTAGACAGATCTGTATATTTACCACCTGCATTGAAAATATCTGTTAACGTGCAAAATTAAAGTATCTAACGTCATAGCCCTTTTTTTCACATTTTGGATAGAGTTTTTTTTTTCCATTTGTGATCCGTTGAAGATGTTTCCTTCCCCTTCCTGTCATGTAGGCACAGTAGGAAGTGAGAGGAAATCTCTCTAAAATGAAGTAAAACCCCTTTTAGACAGATGCCACCTGAACAGGTGTCCCTATTGGAACATTTCCCCTAAATTCAAAATGTTCCATTTTCCTTCACTTTCAGACTCAGTGACATTGGTCATTGGAAAAATGGAGAGGCTGATTCATCCCACGAGAAACATAGACAGCAAAGACAAATTAACAGTGGTTACCAGGGGTTTTTTAATCTTCTTTAACCCCTTCGTGACAGGAGTCCCGCCACAAAGGGGCCAAATGACTCATCACGTACACGACACGATGTACATGACGAGTTATTTGCTGCATTAGAGGGCTGGTAACCGCTGAGAATCAGCGGTTACCATTCATTAATGGATGCCTGAGTATAGAGGCATCCATTCATGAAAGGGTTAACCTTTTTCAGACACCTGATACCTTAATATCGGGTGTCTGAGAGTCAAAGCAGAGCTGGCAAACATGACAGCAAAAGCCGGCATTCTGACAGCTTGTATAGATCTAGAGATATCTCTCTCGATCGCATACTGGCTTTTTTTTTCTTTCACTTTCAGTAATAGATACATAATGTATCTATTTCTGAAAGAAGAATGTTTCAGTTTTCTGATCGTTGTTGGAAGGATCAGAAAAACTTTAGTGACAGCTGAATCCTGAACTGCTGCAGGATCAGTGTCACTAACTTATTTTTGGCTGTTCTGAAGTTTGAAGCAGCCTAATAATAACCAAAAATGTATTCATGTATCAAGCAGTAATAGCGATATTAATTCACAATGACTGCTTGATATAATTAAATAAATAAAATAAAAGTTTTTAAAGTTTTTAAAAAATAGTGAAAAGTGTAAAGAAAAACAAGATAAAGGACAAATAAATGAATGTATTTATTGCATTTTTTTTAGCTGTGCTGGTTTGTAAAAAATACTACAAATCAAAACTGGGAAAAAAGTGGGGTTTTTTTTACGTTTTTTCCTCTTTTTTAATATTTTATTTGTCCTAAGTGAGGCGTTAGACACACATATGTGATATAAATATGTAGCCCTATCTGTCCTCTAAAAAACAATGTATAATATGTGTGGGTGCACTTTGTAAGAAAGTATATTACTGACGTGGAAGAATCACACAGCAAAAATTTCAAAAGTGTGTCATTTACAAACAGAAACTAAAAACAAGCTCAGTCATGAAGGGGTTAATCTATCCATTACTATAAAAAAAAGGTTTTGCATTCAGATATATTTAAAGCTTTTAAATATAAGCCACAAAACAACTTAATCTGGCCTTAAAGTTACACTAAACTCAGGAGTTAAATTTTAAAAATGCATTCAAGTACCTTAATTAAAAAATGTATCTTATTTGTATATAACTCAGCTGTAGATCCTCAAATCATCTCTGAATTTGTGCCGACACTGTGCTTCCTTCTGGAAGGTGGCTACTTTTATTCCCCATGCTCCCTGCATGTGTTGTAAAGTAGCCACTGCTCAAAGCTCACTTCCATGATAGACAAGAACTTCAATAGAAATGAGTAAACTAAACATCAGATTGTAGTCCATCATGGGAGTGAGCTTGGAGTAGTGGCTACTTTACAACACATGCAGGGACCATGGGAAACAAAACTAACCATGCTCCAGAAGGAAGGACAGTGTCAGCACCAATTCAGAGATGATTTGAGGGAACCCATGCCCTGTCTGATAGGATGCAGTCACTGTTTAGCTGAGAATTTTCTTAGTCTATTTTTAGTCAACTTTTTCAAGCCGGGTGGGGCCAACACGGCCACCCATGACTTGAATTTTAGTGTATGCCTAGCTTAAAGCTCACACTCTCTACATTCCTTGTTCTTTTCTACCTCCCCTTGCCTATCTCCCCCTTTTTTCTCCTTTCTTTCTCCTTGGTTTTCTTCTTGTTCTCCCCTTCTCCATTTATTTTTTTTCTTAGCTATATCTATTGCTTAAAAATTACTTAAAAATTGCTTAAAAATTGGATAGCGACATTCAGAGTCTCACTTACTGGATATTAACTGCCAGTTTAATGTTTTTATCCTACGTTCAATGGGAAAACATTTTTTTTTCTATTCTGACATCGCTCTGTTTCAGAATAAAGAAGAAAAAAGACACAGCAGTGTTTCTCTCCTGGGCGGCCGGGAGCGGGAGGCTCCCAGAGTGCCTGGGAGAGTTCTTTTTTTTTTCTTTTTTTTTTACGGCAGCAGAGCCGCCGGAGAATAGGAAACTATTGGGCGGAGCTAGCTGTCATTGCTAGCTCTGCACAATCTTTTTCTATTTACCTTTTTAACAATTTTTCTGTTCTGCTCAGTCCCTCTGAGGGACCGAGCAGAACAGCCGAGCCGAATGCCGCTCAGCGGCAATCGGCTATTCACTCACTGCTGTTCGGCATCTATGAGAATAGACTGAACAGCAGTGAGTAGCCCGCCGGAGGGTCGGCTCAGCCGATCCAGATGTTGGATCGGCTGAGTCGAACTCCTTCTGCACGAAGCCACGTGAAGCAAGCCGATGTACGGCTGATTTCAGCCGATGTACGGCTGAAATCAGCCATACCAGCCTGAAGTGAATAGCCAAACAGTGTTCGGCTCACTTCACTTGGGGTTGGTTGTTCACTCGGCTGCCCTCGGCAGCTTAGTGAATAGACCCCATAGTGATGTTATAATACTGCTAAGACTGAAGATTTTATCATATTGTTCCATTATGCTTGTTCTTTTACAAATCATACCTGTATTTGATTTGCACTGATTTTGTGACTGTATGTCTTCATCCTCCAAAAATAAAGAATTTACAAAAAAAAGTATAGGTCATGGCAAAATAATTAAAAAAAACATATTCAGTACATCTATACAAGATAGCATATTTGTCCATGTTCTATCCCTTTAAAAATGTTGCCAGTATAGGTAAATACCTTTTGATTTTCCAGAAATTCAGTGTGTACTTTCTGTGCCTCTGCTGTATTTAAAACCCAATAAAAATGTTCAGCCTGCTTGCTCCCCTCCTCTTTTTTTGTCCTATTCCATAGCCATACATTCATTTTGTTCTCAGTAAAGTAATGTTGCTACCTTGATTATGAAGGGTCTTCACACACAATGTATGTAGGTAAAGGGATCTTTGGAGATATAGTTATAGGGGTGTGCCTATGTCAGTAGGAACTGAACTTCCAAGGTAAAATAAAAAAATCATGCTGGGGCATGCTCTGGAGGAGGAGAGGTTTGGGGTTAAAGGTTGGTAATGCCTGAACACACCCTCTAGAAAATACATATGCATTATTTAATGAAAAGCTGCCATTTTTAAAGCATTCTGATAATAATGAGGCATCTTTTAGGTCTTCTATACAATAGTTAGATTTTACTGTATCCTGAATTTGCAGCAAGTTTGTACTTTATCTTATTAATCATAAATGAGATTGGGAGCTCCACTTCAGCATTCATTTGGCCGATAATGTAAATATATTCCATAACATTTTTGAGAAAATGGTTCTTGGCAATTGTACATGTTTGCCTTTCCAATTTTAGTCTAGGTAATAAATATTTAGACTATGTTGCTCAATCAATGAAAACATTATCTGTATTTGTGTAATTATTGTAAATGATATGCGCATTACTACAAGCAAATACTGGAAGCCAAAATCACAATTTTTCCACTTAACTTAGGACAGACTTAAAATGATGATTTGCTCTATGCTATAAGAAGTGTTAATAAATACAG